AAAAGTTTCTGGTTCTAACAAATGGTAAGTTTGGAGTGGATACAGAGACATATGTTTTTCACAATTTAAAATAATTAAATTTCGACGGATTTTKTTTTTATCTGTTATTAAATTTCGTTGTGTAAATCTTTTAGTTATATCAAATATTCTCAAATATTTAGAGAAGATCTTAACAATAAAAAAATAAGGAAAGATTCATTGAAATCAAAATATTTTAGAAATCCTATCTATTAATTAAACACACATGCTGAATTTGACGGCTGGATCGATCGATCCGCTTTTATCAAAATTGTCGGAAGATCTCAGGATCGACCAGAAATTGTGGATCGATCGATCCGGTCCCAAAAACTGTGAACCGACGGATTTCCGACGGATTTTATTTTTTTAATTATAATTCTGCAGAAATTTAATAAATATTTTTTTATAATTAAAAAATAAAATCCGTCGGAAATCCGTCGGTATTTCCGACGTATTTCCGATGGATATTATTTTTTTATTATAATTCTGCGGAAATTTAATAAAGTTTTTTTAATAATTAAAAAATAAAATCCGTCGAAAATCCGTCGGTATTTCCGACGGATATTATTTTTTTATTATAATTCTGCAGAAATTTAATAAAGATTTTTTTTATAACTAAAAAATAAAATCCGTCGGAAATCTATCTGAAATAGCGACAGATTTCCGACGAACAACCCTAATTTCTGCCGCCCAAACAACTTCGATCTCATCGAAAAAGCGGGAAAATCCGTCGGAAATCTGTAATATAACCAGACTCTTCTTCTTTCCGGAGACAGACGGAACGACGGAAGAAAAAAATTAAAAATCGCCGGAAAACGCAAAAGCTTCGACGGAAAAGTGACGGCAACCTCGGATTAACCCACAATCACAATCTCTATCACCAAATCATGAATCCAGTGTAAGTTTTTGTTAATTTTAGGCTTGTTTAGAAAATCAGAAATTATGAATTTTAGAGATGTATTTTTAGAATTTGATAGATTTAGGATGTTATAAATTAAGGGATGTAATTAAGGATTTAGGATGATAGAAATGTAGAAATGTACGGATTTAGGATGTTCGAAATTTAGGGATTTAGGGATTTAGGAATTTACGAATTTTGGAATTTTGGAATTTATGAATTTATGAATTAAAGTTTTAGGTATTTA